TATATTTAAGTATGGAACAAGGTATCGAAGTGCTTATACAAGTGCACCTTTATGTTGTCAAGTTTCGTTAAACCACACATATTTTTTGCGATTACGACATATATGTTTTCTATTCTCTTCGAAGATCAACGTTGATTTTCGGTTGATGTATGGCATCGACGATGGAGTTAAGAAGTGGAATTTGGCGTTTCCAAAACTGGTGAAATACCTAGATCGACCATACAAAGACGATTTTTCAAAGAAAATTCTGGAATACCTAACATTTCCAGAATCTGACTTAGGTAAGTGAGTCGAAGTGAATTACTAATATATTTTATTTATTTTAGATGTGAAAACCTGTGCCGTCTTCCTGCTTCTGAACAATGTTCTAAAACCAACGAAGGTAACTCGAAAATTTAAGCCATCGATTTTGGCAGAGGAAGAAATCATATTGTTTGCGGCATCAAACGAATTCTGGCGTCTTCACTAAATTCAACGAAGACTATGCTAAGTATGGATTTCAACCGGTCCCGAAACTGACATTCATCGGCAAAGGTATTGAATCTCTTGAAGAGAGGTTATAGGTACGTTTCCAGGACTTCAGTTATCGATCCATAGATGTTCTGGGTAAATTCTGTGTAGTTTTGACGTAGGCCTACGTCTGTGATTTCTATATGGGCGTACACTTTGTGAAAACCAAAAATGGAACATGTAACAAAATAATGAAAGATTTTGAGCGTTAATAGCTCAACTGCCCCTAGACCAATTTCAATAACTTTATCACAAATCAATTAGAAATATTCCTACGCATCTGTTAAATATAAGACTTAATCATTTTTCAAAATTTCACTTTTGAAAATTGCACGAATGTGAAACTGTTGCTATGATAATTAAAATTATCACCGATTGCCTGCGAATAGCGATTTCCCTAACACAGATTTCAAAGTTGAATTGCATCCGGTCTCACCAAACGTTGTTTATTCAATCACCGCGTGGTGAGTGGTGGTGATCTCCAGTACACAACGAAAGGCTCCTCGCAAGCAGCTAGCTATCAAGGCTGCCTTCAACCACTGATCGGATTCAGTCCAATCACCGTGTGTGGTGGTGTCTGGTCGTCGGCATCAGCTGCAGCAGCAGCAGTGCTTTCGGCGCGTGGCGTTGAACATTGTTCTCCAGTACACAACGAAAAACTGCCTGCAAGCATTGAGCTGCAGCCCACATGAGCATCCATAGAAGGAGGAAGAAGCCGTACCGCTATTGATCGGAATCAGTAGCTCTTCGTGAGTCATTGTGTGCCATCTATGCCAAGCGCGTCACCCTTATTCCAAACAACATATAACTCACTAGCCTCATCTATGTTTAACACCCTAATAGCTCAGCAATACTCAACCATCACGACAAAACGATCCTTTTCAGGACCACCATAAGTTTGTAAAAGAGTATTTTTTGGACATTTGTCAAGGTCATCAATCGGATGTCAGTTCCCATATCTAGATAGAGCTGGAATTAGGGTGCAACAGCTTTTGTAAACAATAACTTCTTTCGATGATGTCTTGAAAGTCAAGGCTCGCCCACGCAAATCAACATCACCGTCAGATAGGGTAAGCCTAATGTTGGTTTGCGTGGACGTGCCTTGAATTCCTAAACATCATGGACAGATGATCTTGAAGACAACATTGGGGGTGTAATTTCAAAAACCACAGTCGGTTACGACATGAAAGTGGTCTTATCTTGATCCAGAGATGAGGGATTTTAATTCTGAATACTCCAATCGATGGGAATTTTTTCTACAAATCTGTTAAAATTAAGACTTCATCATTTTTCAAAATGCCATTATTGACAATTGAACGAATCTGCAACTATTGCTATGATAATTACAATTATCACCGACTGCCTGCAAAAAGCGATTTCCCTAACACAGATTTCAAAGTTGAATTCCATCCGGTCTCACCAAACGGTGTTTATTCAATCACCGCGTGGTGAGTGGTGGTGTTTTTCAGCACACAACGAAAGGCTGTCTGCAAGCAGCGAGCTGCATTTCACATGAGCATCCATAGAAGGAAGAAGAAACCGCACCGCTATTGATCGGATTCCGTAGCTCTTCGTGAGTCGCTCTCGGCCATCTATGTCAAGCGCGTCATACTAAAGAGTATAATCAGAGAGAACCCCGCTCAAATTCCTATTCCTACACCAAACACAAGCTCCTGATGCAGGTAAAAATAAGATTTATTATATAAGACCACGTAGTCCGACATCACCATTGCGTACAACCCCATAGAGCTGTCCCTTTTTGGTCTGGAGCATTCTCGTATTCCAAGACTGGTTTGGCTTTTTATATCCGCGTTCTTCTACAACGTTCCAGTGCAGGAGCAGTACGAGTGTATTAATAGTTTAAAGGCATATCTTTTGAATTGAACATGTTTGCTCGCTTCATTGAGCAGTAACTATATTTAACATCTTCGTAGCAAACTCAAAACTCCTGTAAATTATCGTTATATCTGTACATACCAAGAATTTAATCAGAAATATTTTAATTGGTATTCATTCAAGAGTCATTGCATACGACATGACAGTCGTGATGAGGATTACATTTTACCGGATACATGTTTAGAAAGTACTGATAATGAAACACAGCCAAATTGCATACCGCCTGAAAATTCACTAGGAACATTTTCATGAGTTGATGGGTCGATAGGTAGGGTCCAGGTGTGGAAGCTGCCTTCCTGGCACGTCGGTAGCATTGGTGCTCAGCACGGAAAACAAGATCGACGGAAAAAACAAACCAAAGGAAAAAAAAAACAATGGGAGATCAAGACAAACAACGATAAATTATTAAAAGTAAGTCATGTCTTATTTCCAGCAATGGTGGACGGCAAAGTATGTAACTCTGCTACAAGTACTTCCTCGACAATGAGATGCTACATTTGTGGAAAAATTTCTAAGAGCTTCAACAGTCTTGACAAACTTCAGCCATCTAATCCAGAATCGTTCACATTTGGATTGTCGATTTTACATGCAAGGATTAGGTTTTTGAATCTTTGTTGCTTATTTCTTACAAACTAACTATAAAGAAATGGCAGATAAGATATATATAAAGAAAAGATATTTTGAACTAAATCCAAATCTAAATCATCTTCAATTAAACTTCCATTAGGTCAGAGATCCTGAATAGAAACAGATAGTTAAGCGCAGGAAACAAATCTGAAATGGGGCTTATAGTTGACGTTCCCAAAGCTGACTTTGGGAACACTAACGACGGCAAAACGTCACGATTTTTTTGTAAATCCAGAAAAGTCACCAGCCATAATAGGACTTGACATTCGTCTCATTCACCGGTTGAAAATTATTCTTGAAACAATATCATGTGGATACCAAGTTGACGCTGACAAGTTTGCCACATTTGCAATGGAAACCACCAAGCTGTACGGTTGGCATCGTATGACACCAACACTACATAAGATTCTCACGCATGGAGCAGAAGTAATCCGCCATGTCTTAAATACTACCGATCGGTCAACTTTCTGAGGAGGCTGCGGAAGCAAGAATTAAACATTTCCGAAGCTTTAGACTCAACTTCTCAAGAAAATTTTCCAGAATCCAGTGCAACAGGCTTCTTTTCAGCTCAGATCCGTTCCTCAGCGATCACGATGGAAGCAGTGCTGAAGAATGTTCCGGAGAGGGTTTTGATTCAGATGCCAAACGACACACACACACACAAATTGAGAAAAACAGAATAAATAGAAAAAGTGCAAAGTGAACTATAAGGGGGATTGGCTTTTTTCACTGATATTGATGGCAACTCATCTAAAATCACATTTCTAACAAACTTTCAGTTAATCTTCTTGAAAAATCAGAGATTTAGATTTTTGGCCAACTTTTTAGGTCACATACTCCTCTGTGCGATGGTTACCATCTTGGATTCCAAAATGGCGTCTGGCATTGATTTTCGGCCTATACATATGGTTCCCTTTCTGGAAATACTCATATTGTAGAGTATTTGACAGTATTTTCCATTTTTTTCTGTAACCGGAAGCTGCCATCTTGGATTTCAAAATGGTGTCAGGCAGATATTTCCGGTTGCTTTACGTCACTTAGATTCCAACGATACCCATATTGTGGGGAGTTTCGCAGTATTTCCCAGTTTCCCAAAATTGCAAAAAACTCGTTATTTGGAATTTATTTCGCAAAAAGAAAACTCGTTATTTGGGATTTACTTCTTAAAAAGAGCGACGTACATTGAATACTGCGTAAAAAAGACTTCGTAAACGGTTTAAGTGTAATAGAAGTGCGGTTGCTGCTTAGAATGACGAGAATACGTAAATTCCCCTATAAATGCTAACTTCTTTTCATTGCATTTCATAAAAAACTGTATGATTAGCTTCACCCCACTAGTGCATAATATGCATTTTTAATTTAATTTCGATTTTAAAATGAAGCATGCGATTTCAAAACTAAATGCATGCATTAAAAAAAAATTTGCTACTACAGGTTTGAGAGGTATTTGTTTGTGTGCCAAAAATATAGTTGGAAAAATATTCAGGTTTATCGGTTTTATGGTACAAGAAAATCTCACTCGCAAATGAAAAACAGTCAACTGACTTTTTATCAAATGATAAACATTGTAACTGACAATGTATTTTATTATTTTTTTTTTTTTTTAAGAACGCCTAAACAGTGATTTTTGTGCAACCAGTTGACTCAACCTGTTTACGTATTCCATCAACCACCACAAACACCCCCAGAACGCAGCATGCTTCGATCGGCAAGGCAGTTTTGGCGCGCAGAGCCATCTTGTGGAATCACGATCCACAGCCGAACGAACCGACCACGTGAGAGAAGAGAACCACCGAGCAAACAAACAAATAGAACGAAAACGAATCGCAAGAAATAAGAGAATCACAACCACATGCTTCTCCCGAAATGAGCGCGAAGCGGAGGAAAAAAAATCCGAACGAACGAAACCTGCGCGCCTTTATTTCTTTTAGGTTATATTCTCCCGCTCTCGGCAAGTTCGGCACATTCGTGCTCAAACCACCATTCGATTCAGACCGCTTCGCTTCGCGTTCGACGTTCCAATCTTCGCGTTCATCCGCCGGTCCGCTCGCCCGCGCACACGCATACACACACACACAGGCAGTGTTGTTTTGTATTATTTTGTCGAGAAACCGTGCGGCCTATCTCCTTTCGTTCGTTCGCGAGATATAAATAAGAACAGTTAGAAGAAAAGACATTTTTTCGCGCGCACAAATTTGCCGGCTCGAAAAAGAGAGTGTATCGCTGCTTCTTCGCCGTCATCTTGGTGTCCAAGTTGCTGTTGCCACTTTGTGCGCTTAATTTTTCACTCACTGTGGCGGCTACTACACTAAGTATTGGAGCGCGTTGTGTAACCACCTCCGACCGTGCCTGTGCCTGAGGAACAGTGGATAGTGCTTTGGATTGTTGTATGTTTTATTACGGATTTTGTTGATTGTTATTTGTCAGCGAGTGCTATCGGACAAATTGTCGAGATTGTGTGTGACCCCATCGCTTAGAAGAAGTACAGCCACTGCCAGTCATGGGGAGCTGAATAGTGTAAATATTTGTGCCAACTACATTAGTGTGAATGCTTCTGGAGACGCAGAGGAAAAATAGTTGAAACTGTGTGTTGAAGAAGTACAGTACTAGAACGAATACTGAGGCTGTGACAAAGGTGCCAGTGGGAGAAAAAAAAAATCAAGTGTAGCAATATTATGTGCTTAAGTTTTATCGGAGTAGTACTATATTGAAAATCAGAGTAGCAAAATGACAGCCAGTAAGATATCCCGCCCGAACAGCTTCCTGACGGCATCGGCAGCGACTCCAAGGAATGGTGCCTTCGACAACTACCGGAATCCGAGCCAGATACCACAGAACGTCAACAGGACGAAAAAATGCCTCTTCGGCATACCAGACTCAAATGAAACTAAAAGACTGTACAATGAAAGTGTACAACAGGATCGTCAGCGATTCATCACTCGGTATGGTTTCGATACCGTGACGGGTCAACCTGCCAGAAGCTCATCTTCCATCCCATCATCTTCATCGTCGTCGTCGTCGTCGTCGTCATCGTCATCATCTTCGCGCAGCAGCCCTTCCAGGGACTACAGCAAGCCAATAGATGACTCCAAGAAGCCTTATACGAGACAGCAGCAGCAGAAATCTTCGATAGGTGAGTTTCCCGCCAAAAAATTTCCCCCCGAAAAACGGGTCTCAGGTTGAGGGATGTCGCCTACAAAAACAACCGAACGAAGGAAACGTGAGGGAGGGTGCAAGGTGTGTGTGCGCATTCGCAAAAAATAACAAGAAGCAAATCTGGCGCGTTCAAGAGCCGAAACTTCGACGGCCAAAAGAGAGAGCTCGAGACAAGAAGACATTCGTCGGTCGAGCTTTTCGTTTTTTGCTTGAGTTGGTTTGACCTGTTTCCTCATACACATATTCAAACCGATTTGGCGAGAGTGCAGAGGTGTGCCGTGCAAAGGTGTATACGAATGCGGAGGAGACGGAGCGACCAAGAGAGTGCGCGCGTAAAATTCTAAAATATAACTGCTGCAGCCTGTCTGTCTGGGATGAAGAAATGGCGCGAAATTTAACTCGCTTGCGAATACACAGTCAACAGATTGGTTAGCGTTTTAATTTTCTTTTGGCTATTTTACGAATTCATATTGAATAGGTATGGCCGTAGTTTTTGGCATTGAGCCGGACGTTTCCTGCTTCGGTCCTGGCGAATGTAAATACTCAAAAAAAAACTAATTATTTGAGTTGCATTCGAAACCGGTTCCTTGACCATCGAAAAACCTTCAACCGTCGAATAAACCTAATAGCAAATTGGCCATTAGCATAAGACACTGACTGGTTTAATTTGAACTCGACGGAGCTTGACTGGGCGCTTGTTGGAAGCGATCCCCGATGCCGATTGTGTAACCTCTGCGAGTGTCATTGCAGGAAAATCATGACATTCAATTTGACTCAATTCCGTTGCAGCAATAAAGGCAGCAAATCCCATAAACCTTTATTAAGAAATCCATTTGCGGCATCAACTCGAGAATGCGCATGCACGATTCTCCGTTAATTTATGCGCTTCACTACCCCCATAAAAGTGCGAAAAAACCGTCCGTCCGTCAGTGTTGGATGCAACCCAACAGCGCACGCTCAATTTAAAATGCATCGAACGTTTAAGCAACAAAATTTGCTACCCCGTCCGCTTGCGCGATGACGGCTAATTGCATTCCCATTTGTGCGAAATATTCAGACTTTATGACGTGATGGGGCCTCCTATACCACTACCTATCAACTGCAGACTGCACAAACAATCCCATTTCGGACCAACCCCCCATAAATGATATGGCACTTCAACGACGACGACAAGTCAAACGCTTATAGGCGCGGTTGGAATCAATCGGTTGAAATGGAAGGAAACGGGCTCCCCATATGTGTCCTACAGCGAGAGGGAGTTTTGATTTGTTTATTGTTTACATTTGCTGCACTCGAGAGGAGTGCCCCAAACCATTATTGGGCGGGTGGTGACCAATGTGGGCACACTCGTTTATGGCGTTGTTTTTTTTTTATTGTTTTGCGGACGTTTGCTTGATATGACATTTATATACCATTTTGGGGTTATGTTTTGGTAATGAGTTTTTGAATCGCTCGGTTGAGGATGTTGTTGTTGCTTGATGTATCGTAACGACAACTAACCGGGTAGGTCGAATTGAATGTGCTGAAGTGTGAAGTTACAAAGTTGATGTTGTTTAAATTATGAATACACTCAATTCTGTTTAACGCAAATTCATGTTTTCTTGATGTTGTTCTCATTTAGGATGAGTACAAGGTGATTCGGATTAACAGTCACCGATTTCTTCTTTATGTAATTCTCAATGGGTGAAATGAATATATGTTCAAGTATTTTTGTTTTAACGTGTGTGCACATGTCAGCCTGTGATTCGTTTGCGTGACAAATGTGGGTGGAAATTAAAGTAAAGGGTTAGACTAAATGCTGTTGCAGTTTAAGATATCACGATCAAAAATAGGGTTTATGTCCCTAACCGCGGACTAATAAGCGTCGATTATGTTTATAATCAAAACTCATTAATTAATTTAGCTGAACACGATATTCTACTGCTAAATCGTATGCTTAGATATGCTTATCATGTCGTTTGCTATTAGGTACAACGAAAAGTTGAAAAAAATTACTTATATAAGACGAAAATTCTCCAGGGACATGGATGTAATATCGGTCTATTGTCCTTAAATTGGGCCTATTCATGGATGCAACTTCATCCCATTCTGTTTGATCTTAAAATAGCATTTTTGGTAACGTTTTCATTTGTATTTTTTTAGTCACTATCACTGTTAACTAAATTCTTCAAAACATTTCACAGAGAAAATTTTACGAAAACTACATTAACTTATGTTCCACTACCGTCAAGCGACCACATAATATCGAAATCAAAACATGATGATGTTCTACCGGTTCGGCACCAGTCTTGTCAGCGGTTACGGTAGTCGACACATTTTCTGTGATAATCGAACTGTGAATCTGTGAAGCCTCTGACACTTACAAAACAAGCTATCATAGTAAAGTACCAAACTAAAATGTCATATGACATATGACACTGTCGCCGAAGACCGTCACGAATGTATGCATTTTAGTGTTTTCTCATAATAAGAGCTGCTGATGTTGTGCTTGTGTGAATTCTGAAAATAGCAAGCAATGATGTCCTAATGATAACATTTCTGATCAGAAATGGTTTAATTTACACCAAATTGAGGATTTAGAACGAAATCACAAATGTCACAAGATAGTTATTTGATAATTTTCTATTTGCTCGAATGCTATTCTACCGTTTGTGTTGTGTGAGAGAGATGACGGTAGAGCATGGGTGTACAAATACAAACAAACAGACTGTCATACATGACAACGAAGCGAGTGTCGTAAACAACGTCGACTGTTTCAACCCCCGTTTGGCACACTAAATCTCACTTCGTGATTGTTCCTTATCATTCAAATGCAGACCACATTGTTGACGTCACTCTTATTGCTTGCGTAAGAGCTCATGTAAAAGAAAAAGACGGTGATTTTATTTCTGTCAAACCGATTATCATTGATATATGTGTTTTTCTTATCCAAATGGAAGCAAATGAATCATCTCACAACCACACTTGTAGCTAACTGTCAACTTGATTTGTTTTATTAAAAGGGCCTAGTTCAAATAGTTTTTTCTTACAATACACACTAATAAACTACTAACTAAAATTTTAAAGGAAAAAACCCGAGGAATAACCCTAAAAACAACATTTCCTTATAGTTGAAGGTGTGATTTTCGTCGGAGTCGGAGATGAAAGTATAGGGTTGATAGTTCCACTAGAGTATGACAGTGTGAAAATTGTATATAGAGAGTAGAATGCAAGCAAGGACAACTTTGAAGAAGGTACGAATCGGGTTGATCATCCCTTTTTACCAAACTCCCCCGTGGGAGAGGGACGGTGAGGGGTATCCCGCAGTTGTATAAACCGGTGGAAACTAACGGTTTTAAATTGGTTAGTCTATTGGTCCCAAGCAAATCGATTAACGTACCCCATTCTAATTGAAATTCTAGTACTACACTATGTTTGTCTTGATTCGCTATGAATGTTTGACAGATCATATGAGGGGTTCGTGGATTTTCCAATGTTTCGAGGGGTGCTTCCATTAGCTTGGGACCGAAGAGAGTACCATAGCTGAGCCAAAAAGTTGATCACGTTTCTTTGGGACCTTCTAGTCTTAGAGTTACCTCTATGGTTGTATCATGGAATGCCTTATTGGGTTTTTAGTGGAATACTCATGATATATTTCCAGTGGAAGTGACACTCAACTGAAAGTTCGGTGATTGAAACAAATGTCAAGATGAATTTTCAAATGTCAAGATGAATTAATTGAGGATGGAAATTGATGTATTTTAAATGCAATTGAAGCATCACAATAACATACAGTGGAAAAAAACGACGATGAGAACGACCCAAATTACTCATAATCACCAAAAGTGCAGGAACTAAGCGATGAGTAAGCTTCCATGCCGATGCTTCCACGCATATTTTTCTCTAGTCATTTTTAAACAATTCCTCCTCCAGCGATTCCAACCACACAATAACTAAATATCACTTTTGCAATGCACATCGCAAAACCCAAACAATAGATCAGCGCCGTTCAAATCAAATTATTGCACCCGGGACACAAAACTATTTAAAACTGAAATTAAAAACTATATCTCGCGATGCCTTAAATTACTGTTCCGGTAGCACAAGCGAAGAAAAAAAACAAACAACGTAGATGACGACATCTCTTCTGATTCACAAACACGTTTTTTTTTCTCGATTCTAAAACTTCCACCAATCACACACGTATAACCGTCCGGGAGGCAGAGTGCCAGCGCTAATCAGACAAAAGCACCCGAAAACTATGAAAGCAAACGCACGCACAAATAAGAGAGAAAATTTACAACACAACCGCATCCGAAGGGTGCTCAAAACAGGACCAGACCAACATTTGAAAAGGGTGGAATTCAAAAAATCACCATATCGAGAAAACCACTTCCGAATTTTGATCCCCTAAAAACTAATCCCATTTTAAGACTTCGCATTTTCTGGCTGATTTGATTAGCTTGACATATAGTTAAAAGTGTAATCTAACATGATGCATGACTTAAACCTAAACAAAAGTGCTTTTGCTAAAGTTTGTTGTGTCAGTGATTTGTTTTCATCAGGATTGTTTTTTCCTGATGAATATAATTTGCATACACAGCGAATGCGAACGACCCAAATTTGAGTTAAGTTTACTCATAATCGCAGAAAGTGCAAGAGTTCAGCCGAGAGAGTTGAGCAATGAAAAAATTTGCCTCATGTTTTTTCTGTGGAAAACCACAAAAATCTGCCGGATAATGAGAAAAATTGTGATTGTGATGACGAAATATCTTGAAAATGGAAACTAAATCAGAACTTGGTCGAATTTTAGCAAAAATTTGAGCCATTGCCTATAACAAACAATTACGCAAATTTCATACATCTAGATAGAGCTGGAATTAGGGCGTAACAGCTTTTGTAAACAATGACTTCTATCGATGATTCCTAGGCACTCAAGGCACGCCCACGCAGACCAACATAACCATCGGATAGGGGAAGTCTTTCCCTACCTGATGA